ACCACTGAAGGAAATCTAAACTAGAATTTTAAGAGAGTAGGAACCTGGAGACAGGAGCTGATGAAGAGTCCATGGGTGGGTACTGCTTATGGGAGAGCTCTGTGTGGCTTGCTCAGCCTACTTTCTTATAGAGCCCATGACCACCAGCCCAGAGATGGCACCACCTACAAGAGGCTGGGCCCTTGACCATCAATCACTAACTTAGAGAGTGCTTTACACACCTGCCTACAGCCCGATTTCATGGGGATAGTGTTATCTTTTTAAAAAAAATCTTCTCTCATATATATTACACACCAAGTGTAGTTTCCCCTCCATCCTCTCCTATCAGTTCCATTCACCCACCTCCCTTCTCATTCACTTCTCCTCTACTTTGCCTCTGTTTCTCTTCAGAAAAGAGCAGTCTTCCCCCAAATACCAACCCACATGGCACAACATGTTACAATAAGACTAGGTACAAACTCTCCTATCAAGATTGAACTAGGCAAGCCAGTAGAAGGAAAAGTTCCCAAAGTTGGCAAAAGAGTCAGAGACAGCCCTCACTCCTACTGTTTAGAGTCCACAATAACAACAAGGTCCAGAAAAAAAATGTACAAAGAGTTTCTGGGTCAGAGCTGTACAGTTCCCCGGTTGTCAGTTCAGTCTCTGTGTGCTGCAGTGATCCCTGGTTAGTTGATTCTGTGTGCTGAGTTCTTGTGTTGTCTTCTTCTTGCCAGAAGAAGAATTGCCATATGACAGACTTTAAGTGAAACAGACATTATCATGAAGGATTAACTTATCCTGTCTTTGCTGAGCTAAGCTATCCTCTATCTTGTATCTTGTGTCCTTTCATGTACAGTGTTATTTGTCTGTAGATGAATTAGGGCAACTTCTGCCCAGTGGCTGCCCTGCTACAAAAGAAATCTCTTGGAGGTGATGGTGCTCAACATTTTCTCTGAACTGTGAAGGGGGTACTACTGTCAGGAGTAGACATGTCTCTTAACAAATGATTTTTATTAATGGGATGTCTTAACTGTCATATTCTGTAGACCTTTGATGCATTTGAAGACTATCTATGTAAAGTGTATCTGAACTATTGTCTTTTAACTACTCTCACCTATTTCTAATGGAAATATCTCAAAACATCCTTTTATAATTCACTCAGAACAATGAGTTTGCTATCTAGTCCTAAATTTATATTCTTGAAAAAGTTGCATAGGCACAATGCCTATCTAAGAGTAACAATACTAATCTCAATTTTTGTATCAATATATAGATTTATACTAATAGAAACCTTAATTCTGTATTAAACTAAATTCTGTACTAACATAAGAAAATATCTTTAACTTTGTATCAACTATAAAGATTTCTACCAATTAAGATTATGGGTACACAATGTTTAGTTTAATAAATTTAGTAATCCATTACATATATTTCCTCCCTGTATAAAATGAATACCATTTCCAAATTATACCTTAAAATAATAGCCAAATTATTATCTATAAAATAACCATAATCAGACAACCAAAAGCAAGGGACCAGGATAATGATTCTCCACAATTTTATCCTACTGAATAGAGGCCATGAAATATCTTTAAAAAGGAGGGGAATGTTAGGGAAAATATGAGGTTTAGTTAGGCCTTAAGAAAGACAAGTCAGGTGCCATCCACCCACCTCAAAAGTATTTATCCAGAATTCTTCCTGTCAAAAGGAAATACAGATACAAAGAGTAGACCAGAAACTGAAGGAAAGGCCTGCCAGAGACTGCCCCACCTAGGGATTCATCCCATCTGCTGACACAGCTATTGTGTCTGAGTTTGGTGACAATTGCTGATGCCAAGAAATGCTTGCTGACAGGAGCCTGGTATAGTTGTCCCCTGAGAGGCTCTGCTACAGCCGGACCAATACAGATGCAAATGTACACAGGTAAACATTGGAATAAGCACCTGGAACCCAAAGAAGAAGTTAGGGCAATGACTGTAGGAGCTAAAGGGATTGCAATCCCATAGAAAGAACAACAATATCAACCATCTAGACCCCACCAAAGGTTCCATGGACTAAACCACCAACCAAAGATTACACATGAGTACCTGTGGCTCCATCTCGATATGTAGCAGAGGATTGCCTTATCTGGCATCACTGGGAAGGGAGACCCTTGGTCTTGTGGAGGCTTGATAACACAAAATAGGAAAATGCTAGGCTGCTGAGGCAGGAGTGTTATAGGCAGATGAGTGAGAAATCTCATAGAGGCAGAGAAAGTTAGGAGGGAATGGGGGCTTATGAAGGGGAAACTGGGAATGGGAATAACATTTGAAATGCAAATAAATAAAATGACCAATAAAACAAACAAACATACAAATAAATAAATAAAATAAATAAAACCAGCAACTGTTATTCATTCTTTGATACCTTAGTTCTAACTGGATCTGTCTGAAAGGTTGAATGACTCAAGTTGATCTGGAATCCATGACACCAGGAGTCCAAGCAGGTCAGTTCAGCATGTCTGAGGATGAATCTCACCAAAGCTGTACACTCTGCAATATACAAATCTCAAAATAGAATTTAAGTATTATCAAGATATATGTATGGATTGTGTTAGTCTGTGTAAGGTGTATAGACTGAGTATGAAATTAATTCTGTTCTTTGTTTGAGCATGTGAAAGACAGTCATTTTTATGATTCAATTTTTATAATCACCAATCTTAGGTCTTTATTTGTGCCATGTGAAGAGTGGCACAAAGATTCTTTACCTCTACTGTTTGATTCTCTTGAATATTTGTACTTCTTCAGGGGGTCTCCCTCTGTCAGATCTGATCCATATAATGCTTGCCCTTGCTAGGCTCTGGCATCAACAGTTGCTCCCTACCATCTACTCAGTGCCCATGGCTAGCTAATGTTTTTCTGAGAGTGCTGCCTGTTCCTATGGCTGGTGTTGCCAAGCCTTCCAACAACCATTCCTCCTAAGAATTCCTGGAGCTACAGCTCTTGTTCCACCAACCAACAGCCCTGTTGGCCTGCTTTCTCCTGCCCACCTGAGTCACCAAGGATGGAAAACACCATGCAATATTAATACTTTAAAATCAGCCAGATGACACAACCACTGCACACAAAATCTATTGTCCTAAACTCATCAGTTATTTTATGTTAGAATTCTTCTGGTGGCAGAGGCCACCAAGGAGTCTAATAGCTCTGAGGCCTACATGATGTCCATCCTCCTCTCTCCAAAGTCTGGACAAAAAGCCCCTTTCTCGATCTTGACTCTCCTCTTCCTTATGAGACCTGAAAATCCCTCGTTTATATCTTTGCCCAGTGATTGATTTCGACCATCTTTATTGACTCAATCAAAAAACAATTAGGCAACTGAAAACCAGGAACTTCCCTTATAATTCCTCCTCCTCCTCCTCCTCCTCCTCCTCCTCCTCCTCCTCCTCCTCTTCTCCTCCTTTTCCTTTTCTTTATTCTTCTCTTCTCCTCTTTCTCCTTTCTATCTCTTGCTCTCTCCTATGTCCCTCCCTCTCTCTCTCCCCCAATCCCCAGTTCCCATCTTGCTCTGTGTATTTCAGTGTGCATGTGTGTATGCCACAGAGCACCTATGGAGATCAAAGGGCAACTTTCTGAATTTTGTTCTCTCCTTCCTCTTTGATGTGGAATCCAGGACTTGAACTTGAGTTGTCAGACTTGTATAGTAAGTGGCATTATCCCATGAGCTGTATTGCTAGCCCCATTACCTCTATTTCATACATCCCAAAGCTGTTGCTTCTGAACTTTGACCTTTGATATTCTTTTTATAGCCATAATTAGTTTCTTTTGACACCTGCACTCAAATTTCACTAGTTCCTGCTGAGTGCTTAGGAGTTTACTCTTTCTGAGTGTCCAGCTGTCTTATCCCTGGAACTATGGACAGCATTCTCACCTCTTCTGTCTCAAGAGATTTTTAACTTCACCTCCTAAAACAGAGTCCACAGCACTGAGATTTTGCTACCAGAGACAAAGCAATAAAGAAAGAACAGTAAAGCAAACGGGGAATGGAATTTACAGCTCTACCAAAAGAACTGTACTTGTTTCTTTACCTCAGAGTTTCCCAAGTGTTTAAAGCTACATTAATGTAAGAGTAAGATGCTTATATACACTTTGCAAACAGCATGACTTATAGAGAAAATGAAAGTCATGTTTTACCAGAAAATATTTCATGACATCTGTTGAGGAAATAAAGTAATATCTCTAAATAAAGATCATTGGTATGGATTAAGATTGATTTGTTGTTTAAAGTCAAGGTTTCAAATATCCTAGCTTAGTCTTAAGCTTGTAATATCATCAGTAACTCTAAATAGTTCATTGAAATCAGGAACCAATTATCTAGCCTGAGCCCCTAAGATGACATATAAAAATAAATTCTAGGGCCTAGAGATGGCCCAGTGGTTAAGAGAATTTGTTGATCTTCCAGAGATCCTGGGTTCAATTCCCTGCACTTACTGACATGGCAGTTTGAAACCACTTGTAAGTCCAGTTTCAGAGGATCTGGTGCCTTCTGGTCTGTAGCCATCAGACACAGTAGTGATAGAGCAAGAAACACACAGACAAAACACCCACATGTGTAAAATAAAAAAATTTTAAAAGTCAGTTTAATGAAGGAACAAACACACATATATTTTATATACATGTAAAAGTATGTAGTATAGATAAATGCTAAATAAAGAATTTTACTAAAAGATATTCTACTTTTTGCTTAATGGTTTCTGTAATCTGTTTAGTGAAAAAGTTAAATAAAATCCTTTTTACTGTAGGTTACCTGGATATGTTTGGTCATTAGAATTCTTCAATGAAGACAAAGCATTTTCATAAAAATATTTAGCTCTTGACGATTTTTAAGTATCGGATGACACAAATATCCATTTTGTATCTCTTCGATGCCCAGCTTGCTGCATGGTGAATCTCCTAGCATTCTTTAAGCAGCCTGTCTGCTGCAAGGGCTAGCTCAGCTGAAAGCCTGGAATTCTCATTAATCCCATTTTCCCCTCTGCAGTCAAGGAACCACAGTGGGCATGGCATCAGGAGTCCCTTTGTGCCTCATTGAGAATGTGAAAGGACAACTGATAGCCAATCAGAAGGCTCTGGAGATCCTGACAACCATCACACAGCCAGTGGTTGTGGTGGCAATCATGGGCCTCTACCGCACAGGCAAATCCTACCTGATGAACAGGCTGGCTGGGAAGAGAACAGGTGAATGTCACCAACAAAGTTATCCTGGGTCCCTTAAGTCCACCCTCACCATCATTTTTCAGCACAGGGAGTTAGAACAGAAAGTTCAAGACAAGGATAGATACTCAATTGTAGTTGTTAATCCATAGTGAGAGTGAGAGAGAGAGAGAGAGAGAGAGAGAGAGAGAGAGAGAGAGAGAGAGAGAGAGAGAGAATGTTTAAGATTAATTCATGTTGAAGAGCTTTATATGTTGGCTATGGAAAAAATCCAAATTGTTTTTTTTAAAGATTTATTTATTTATATATATATGAGTATATTGTCACTGTCTTCAGGCACAGCAGAAGAGGGCATGAGATCCTGATACAAATGGTTCTGAGCCATCATGTGGTTGCTGGGAATTGAACTCAGGATCTCATGAAGAGCAGTCAGTGCTCTTAACCGCTGAGCCATCTCTCCAGCCCCAAAATCGGTTTTATGTGCTTCTCCTTATGCTAATCAGAGAAAGAAGAGTCAGACAACATTTCTTTGGTTTTTCTTAGTTACCAATTTAAAAAATGTACTGTTTTTTTTTTTGCCCTGTAGAGAATAGAGAATATTACTATACAAATATTTCAAACTCACAAAGTATTTAGTAATTCATGAATCAAGAGTGAGGGATCCCTGACCACAGAGATGACAGAAAACTTCCAAAGCAAATGGAATATTCCAGTTCTCTTTTCCATTACTTTTCTATCTTTTTATTAATGATTACTTTTGTCCTTAGTTTTTATAACCTCATCTATGTACACCAACCCTAGTGGTGATGACACTATGTTTTTAACCTTGGTTTACATTAACTCTTGTTTCAGTTTTCAGAAACTCCTACTAGAAAATATCTACTCTTGTCCCTCCTCTGCTCTTTGCAGGATTCTCTCTGGGCTCCACTGTGCAGTCTCAGACTAAGGGGATCTGGATGTGGTGTGTGCCTCATCCCCAGAAGCCTGACCACACCTTAGTTCTGCTTGACACCGAGGGCCTGGGAGATGTGGAGAAAGTAAGATGGAAGAGTGCTGCTTTTTATTAAGCTCCTTAACTCTCAATGGCCTCTGCAGTACTTAGGAGTTCACTCTAAATTGCAACATAGCTTTTATTTCTATCAACTGGTAAGAAATTTGGTAACTAATGTGGCAGAAAATAGTCAGAAGTCTGAGTTCTAGAGGGACCATGAACATGAGGGAACAGGGCTTGTCATCATTAAGTGAGCAAATCTAGGTAACTCAGATGCTTAAAGATGCTGTTAGTAGAATCATTCTCTTGAGTGTTTCCCCACAGAAAATGCTGCTTAAGGGCTAAAGTACTAAAGTACTGAGGCTTTATGTTTAATGAAGTTTAATGTTTAATTCTGCCCTTAAGAGATTCTGTGGTTTTAGCAAGCCATACAAGTTAGGTGTACACTCAGCTATTGAGAAAATTGAATGTGATAGATCTTTCTCTGACTTACAGCACTGTACATTTAGTAAGACTAGCAATGTCATACAGCCAGGAGGATGATTGGTTGAACTTGATCAAGAGAGGGTAAGGGTAAAACATATCCCCCAAATGATTCAATTTAAAAGTGAGTTAAATTTAAAGCCTTATATATGTAATAATTTCTCAAATTTAAGTATTAATATTGTTATGTAGGGCAATTAAACCTTACATGAAGGGAAGCTTTGTGAGTCTGTAAGAACTTGGAATCTCCACCAATCTGTTTTATTGAAATTACCCACCAATAGACATAAAAGTCCTAGCATGATGAAAAAGTATGAGTCGATCAAACTAGTGAAACTAATTGGAAATAACTCATCCTCTCAGTTATACTATGAGAATATATCTCTATAGTTTGCTTTTTAAAACTAGTTACTCTAAAAACAGAAAATAAACCAAATCAAAACACTGGGAGCACATTTACTCTAGAATGGACTGTTATGACTTTCAGGGTGACAACCAGAATGACTGCTGGATCTTTGCCCTGGCTATTCTTCTAAGTAGCACTTTTGTGTACAACAGTATGGGAGTCATCAACCAGCAGGCCATGGACCAGCTGCAGTATCCTTTCTGATGGGAACATCTCATTCTAGGAATGCTGTAGTCAATGTTGACAGATAGGAAACACAATAGTCCCAGTTCAAGGCAAGATTCCATGTACTCATTCTTGGATTCACACTTGAGTCAGAACATGGGAAAATCATGTGTGGGAATTGAGGAGATGACTGGATACCCTGATCATTCACCACTTCTCCTTAGCTACTCAGCTATGTGGCAGAGCTTACAGATAGGATCCGAGTAAAATCCTCACCTGACCACAGTGATGGGGTTGAAGACTCAGCTGAATTTGTGAGCTTCTTCCCTGACTTTGTGTGGACTCTGAGGGATGTGACACTAAGACTTGAAGCAGATGGACAAAGCCTCACAGCAGACGAGTATCTGGAGAATTCCTTGAAGCTCAAGAAAGGTACAGGGACTCCAGAGTGGAGAATAGAGAGGGGAAATTCCATGATTTTACACTTTATGCAAGTGTTCAGATTTGCTTTTCTCTTTTGAATTTTCACGCTGTTTCTAAGAAGTGCTTCATGTTTAGTATCTGTCTTGACTTTTCAATTTCAATTGATATGTTCTCTGGTACAGAGAGAAATGTTCACTCTGTGCTGTAATCATATCGTTTTAATCTCCCTCAAGGTCATATGGGGATCCATACCACCAAAAACTTGGAGAGGAATCTATAAGCTACGCCTGAACCTACTATTACTGTGATATATATTTTCAGGTAGCAGTGAAGAAGATAAAAATTACAACCTGCCTCGGCTCTGTATTCGAAAGTTCTTCCCCAAGAGGAAATGTTTTGTCTTCTATCCACCTGCTCAGTGGAAGAAGCTCTCTGAGCTAGAGTGCCTGCATGATGATGAGCTGGATTCTGACTTTGTGAAACAGGCAGAAGATTTCTGTTCCTTCATCTTCAGCTCTTCTAAAGCTAAAACTCTGCCAGGAGGCATCAAGGTCAATGGAGCTCGTAAGTCTCCTACCCAGTTCTCTTTGCTTTCAACTGGATGCTCTTTGGGTATATAATATCCACCAAACTCCAGTTTTAATAATTTTGCCACATTCCAGATGGAATTTTATAATTCAGTACAATGTGCCTTTATAACAATCTAAGAATAGAGACTTTATGCTCAATATTTCTGCACTTAACTGAAATGAGTATTGGATATCTAAACTATCCAATTTGGCATCAAATGACACGTACTGTATATATTTAATTATATGTAATTTAATTAAAATAAATTTAGAAGTTCAGACCATGTATGTACTTTGAGTGTTCAGTAGCTATTCATGTTAAATCTGGTGTCAATAATAATGGAAATCATAGGCATAAAAATCTGTTCTTCATTTTAAGTCATTACTGGTCAACACTGAGCTTCATCAAACTAAGCAACACCATCCATTTAACTTTGTGGTGTCATATGCTGCTCATATAAGTGAATCCCACCAAAGCCAGTGTCCAAAGACTAGATGATACCCTAATGAAGATAGAATTTGATTTTTAAGAGTCTTAAGACTAGCTGAATACATATTCAGTAATCCCAGCCTTATTTTATATAAAAGGAAATTTTAGCCATTGGTGGGCAGGCAAATTGCCTGAGTATCTTGCTAATGTGAAGGTTCTGAGGTAGTGCAGGTGCTTAGAATAGACAAAGACCTGTTTCAATACCCAGAACCATAAATGCCAATTAACTAGTAAGAAAATCAATTAAATCAACAAATAGGTACAAACCAGAGGTGAGGTGCACTTCAATTGGAGATCACTTGCCCCCAATTGCATGCAATGCATGTAGAAACCTTCCTTTGGTTGCTAATAACAAAAATCAGTCAGAGGAATTTTGTTATTTTTCATCAGTGGGAAATACAGCAGGTCATGAGTGCTATGTGAGTTCAGTGAGTACTTCAGAGTAAAATGTAGAGTCTCTCTTTGTAAAGAGCTGGATGTGTAAAAACTGGACCCCTGTGGTATCACAGAGTCTCTAGTGTGTCCAGATAGAGTACCTATGTGGTAAAACAGGATTCCTAGGAAGTCACAGGTGACCTTGCTCTGTTTTATTAGTCAGCACAGAAAGGGTTGTTGGTAGATGCAAACTGTCTCCCAAGGCAGTCTGTCTCACCCTGGAGACTGCTGTAGAGAAATCTAGGATTGAGTGCAACATTTTCCTCACTCCAAGCCTCTCACCACATCCCTATAAAGTGTCACAAGTAGCTTTTTCCCCTGAGAGACTCCTCAATTGACCTCTGCAGAGATACTGTACCTTGCTGTGCATGCTACTGAAAATAATCCTGTCTGTTGAAAGACGTATTCTGGTCTCTTCCTACTCTCTGTCACTTCAAGTTAATTATACATTAACCTGAAATTCTAGACATTCTGACACATGGGGTCCATTTGTGAAGGATGTTCACAAATTAAAGCATTTAGTGTACAAGATAAGCCACCTCAGTTAGCTTCAGTAGCAAAATATTCTTTCAGAGAACATCTGAACATAATGATTTAATTATTAATTAATTTCAAATATAATCAATTAAAGAATGTCAAAAGACAAGATGAACAAGAACAACAGTTATGATAGTTTGTGAAAGAAGATTCATAGGAATAAGTTGCACATGGACAAAGATGATGATAAAGAAAAAAAGAAAACATCATCTTCAGCATAATGTACCTTTTAATAATGCAGACCATATAACCTTATAAAATAGCAATTGAAATTCTAAATATGATGTCTCACCAGGACTGGGAATTCTAGTGCAGACCTACGTGGATGCCATTGGCAGTGGGACTGTTCCTTGTCTGGAGAATGCAGTGACAACCCTGGCCATGTGTACAAACTCAGCAGCTGTGCAGAAGGCAGCTGACCACTACAGTGAGCAGATGTGCCAGCAACTGAGGCTTCCCACAGACATGCTCCAGGAGCTGCTGGATGTGCATGCAGCCTGTGAGAAGGAAGCCTTAGCTGTCTTCATGGAGCACTCCTTCAGGGATGACCAGCTGGAGTTTCAGGAGCAGCTCATGGTGATATACCTTAAGATTTATCTTATTTACATAAGATTAATCTTATGTTGGTATATCTTAACATTTATCCTTACTGGTCCCTGCCCTTCTGTCATGTGACTTTGAGTTAGCATTTAAATCTCATGTTATTTCCTTCTTATAATGGAGGGAACAAGGGTCTTATGTCTTACAGATTTCTTTAGGGAACACAGGGAAGGGGAAGAGGTTGAGAAGTTAACATGTGGCACATGACTTTCATTAGAGCTGAGAACAATATGCATCTATTGTGTTTGGCTGCTGAGATATAGCACAAGGCATGTGGGTCTCTATTCACTAAGTTAAAGCAATGAGTCAGATAGGCTTCATTTCAGTTAAGGGCTCTAAGACCTCCTTCAGTATTCAAATATAAAACCTTTAGTCTATCATTCCCTGTTTCAAATCCCTCTGGTTTCCCTTGTCTATAATCAATTTTAGGAAATGGATTTTAAATGACCAATGTAATTAAATAAGTTTCATGTACTAAGGGTTAGCCAGAACTTAGAAGACAATCAGTGTCTTTCATTTTCTGACAATGGTTCTCACCGTATTGGTTAAGACTCCTTTGGGGACATGAATGTCTCTTTCATAGGTACTGCATCACAGATATCTGACATATCAGATAATGACATTACTATTCATAAAAATATTAAAATTACTGTTTGAAGTAGCAACAAAAACATCTTTATGTTTGGGGTTAAGCACAACTTGAGAGACTGTATTAAATAGTGGATCACAGCATTAGGAATGTTGAGAAACACTGTATATGAGATGTTATGGTACAAAGACACCAAGGAAAGAAACTCTGGCTTTCTCTTAATTTTAATGACCAAAGACCTTGTCACTGAAAGTTTGTCTTTCAATCTTTGCATCAACATCTTACAAGTGACAAAAATGTATTAATTTATACTGAAGAAAACATTTGCTTTGTAGTTCAGAAGTATCCAACTTAGAATCTTCATCCTCTAACTTCACAGTCTTTACTCATCTTGAAGAAATCCATAAAGTACTCACTAATATCTCTGTTGATAACAAACCTACTGAGAACCAACAGGTGGATTTCCTGTGCAGATATTTTGACCCACACCAAAGCACATTCTCCTGAGGAAGCTTTTTTCTACTTCTGGTTGAACTTTGAACTCATTATTGATTTGTGGAAACCCTTTCATCCTAACACATGAAGAAGAACACAGATTTCATGCCCACTCACCTCACTGAAATAGTTATTTAGCTTGAGGCGAAAGAAATTAGAAGGTTTTCAGAAGTTACTCATAGTGACCATAAGAGAGGCCAGTCCCCCATTGATCCTGTCCCAGTCCACTCTGGGACTGTTACATTGTTCTGTCCTGAACAACCACAGGGTAACTTTTTTCTAACAGCCTATTTGATTTGTCCTTCCCTACTCAACTTGCAGGTCACCATAGAAGAAAGGGAGGAAACTTTCATGCGACAGAATGAAGCAGCATCTCTCAGTCACTGCGAAGCTGAACTGGACAAGCTCTCAGAGTCCCTGAGGGAGAGCATCTCATGTGGGGCTTTCTCTGTCCCTGGGGGCCACAGTCTTTACCTAGAGGCCAGGAAGAAGGTTGAGCAGGACTATGATCGAGTGCCCAGGAAGGGAGTGAAGGTGAGGGATGAGGGCAGATGTGGTTGTGCAGCTAGAGCACAGCTAGAGCTGAAACTGCTGCTCCTGGTTTCTAAAAGCACACAGGCTTCATGGAGAGAAAGCAGAGTGAGTATAACATGGCCATGCTAGTCTTTAAATCCACAAATTTTGTATCTTTGGATACAAATATTACTACACAGTATTTTATGACTTCTAAGTATTTGTTGCCTCTGAAGGTGAGATTTATAATATAAATCCAAGAGAAAGAGAACATTGATTTATTGAATAACCTGGTAATTTTTGACCCAAAATACATATTATTACAGGAAAAACATTTATTGTCAGAATCTTATGGTTTTAGATGACATGGACAATAGAGTATACTTGTTAAATATAATCTAGTTATCAACCTTAAAGAGGTAGAGTGGAGATGATAACGATGGTGGTCGTGGTGGTGGTGGTGGTGGTGGCGGCGGCGGCAGTGGTGATGATGATACTGATGATGCTCATGGTGATGATGCTAGCATATTGAAAGCTTATTTCCTAAGCTGAATTAGTGTTATTTTCCTCATTGGAGTATCAATCTAAAACTCAAGGTCAGGATGAATTATTACTTAACGATATCTCCATTGTGCAGTTGAGGGATGCAATGAACAGAGAAGCTCACACAGACTTACCAAAGCAGATGGACAGCTTCATTCAGAGTGAAGCAATCATAGAGATAGGAGTATACTGGCCAGATCCACCGTGACCATATAAGTGAGGCTATTCAAACGGCCAAGTCCCACCCTGGATCATATTTAATGTATCTAAAAGAAGGAAGAGGCTGCTACTATAGCCATAGTTTGTGTGGCTCTCTACTCTGAAGGATAGATTAAGTCATGCATTCAATATCTATAATACGCATGTCTTTCTCATACATAGTTCATCAGATTTTAATTATATGTATGCTCAATTGTGCATTGGAATAAGATGCTAAGTGTGAGTTTTCTTCATAAAATTTCATTTGAAGAACAAAGTTTGCCAGACAACACTGTGCATGCACTAAAAGCAATTTGAGTCCAGATTGGCCTTTCTATTCTCTTGGATGCATACCTAGGTAAAACAGTTAAATAGAACCTCTCATGATGTGATTGACTTAGGGGTGAAGACACTTCTACTATCATTCAGAGAGGAGTGTATGTGTAGTCAGTTCAGGAACACAACAGGAGGGTCTGAGATTCTAGGAACATTATTTGAAGAGGTGTATATGTGCATATTATATGCAGGTAAAAGAATCAGACTAGCAAAGACACCATTACAAGAAGGGGAGGGATGGAAACGCTAAACCCAATAAGGTCTCAGACTACTAATCTACCCATAAGTCTGTCTGCCACATATATATTTGTGGAATTGCAATCAAATTTGGATGGGAGTGTTACCTGGGGTGGCTAGTGGGTGACATTTCTGGAGAGCAATAGGAAGTTGTTATAGAGGGTGTTTTTATTTAAGCAAAGAGCACAGGGTTTGTTTTAGCCAAAGAATTAAATGACTCACATGGGAACTAAAGCAGGATTTAAATACGACAGTCAGGGTAGTAATTTCATGGAATGATAACACTTTCATCAGCAGAATACATCCTTGCTGCTTAAGACTTTCTCTCCTTTCCTACCCAGGCAAGTGGGGTCTTCCAGAACTTCCTGAAGTCACAGATCACTGTGGAAGAGTCCATCTTGAAGTCAGATAAAGCCCTCACTGAAAGTCAGAAAGTTCTGGAAGGTACAGAAGAGGGCTCAAGTCTCCTAGACTTCCTATAGAGCCCCATGACTAATGGATAGTGGGATACCCCAGACAAGGACCTCCTTCCTGCATCATCTTCTAGATCTGAAAACTATGATTGAGGCTGGTGTTGCATGCCTAGTCAGTAGTGCATCGCCATCACATAGGACATCAGTGCATGGTGATGTGAAGTTGTGGAGAGTTTTTATGTATAAATCACCCTGATCCCTAAGATCAAGAGGGTAGATCTCAGTTCTGATTATCCTTTCTTACTTCTCTAAAACTTTGTGGGACAGCCGAGAAGGCCAAGAAAGAGGCGGCTGAGAAGGAACTGGCGGTGATTAGACAGCAACAAAAGGAGAATGAGGAAAAGATGGAAGCTCTAAAGATAAGCATCTCAGAAACCATGGCCCAGATAAAGGAGAAGATGGAGATAGAAATGGAGAACCTTCTGAGAGATCAAGAGAGGGTTCTGGACCTGAAGATGAAGGTAAATATGTCTTGATGAAATTGTAGTATATGACTGACCATAACTCCCCTGGAAGGGACAGTATGGCATTTTCAAGGAAATCATGATCCCAGAGAGAACCTCCAATGACATGAGACCATGGAAACCTGAAATCCACCACAACCCTGGTAATGCCCTTAATTCTAAAGACACATCACCTACTGTAGTGTTAGCAAAGTGAATGACGTAGGAGTGTAGTGCCAAGGAAATGTTCATGATCCCCAAAACACGGACAGAACCGAATCTGATGCACCTCACAGCAGGGCCTTTATTCTATTTGAGCTAGCTAAGCCCACCCATCACACCACTGTTACAGAGGCTGGTTTTGGTAGTAGGGGAGCTCTGAGTGTCTATTGAGGCAAGTCTTTGTAGTAAGCAGCGACCGGGGATGAAGTATGCAAACACCTAGTTGGATAGCTACTGTGGCCTTTGAAATAATTGGCTGGTTCTGAGAAGCATATCACAAACTTAATTTCTGCTTCCCTCTGCATAGACAGTCCTGAGGCAGGGGGTGGGCTTGTAACCTGGGGGTACAGGTTTTTTTTGGGGAAATAACCTGGAGACACTGGTGCTGTTGAGGGTGTAACCAGGAAAAGCTGGTTTTGTTGGGGATTAGCCTAGAGACTGGAGCGAGGCTCAGGGTTTGTTGGGGGACAACTTGGAAACTAATGCTAGGTAACAGCCTATTAGTTTATCTGAGTTCAAACCTAGGTCAGGTTCTCTAAGATGGAGTCTAAACTTAAAGGATTTGCCATCTCAGGAGTGAAAAAAGCCATCCTCCATTAAACTTCTATGTTTCAGTGCAGCCTTATTTTCCTCCACCAGAAAAATACTTCAGCCTAACACTCCAAGAATTCTTAGCATAAGAGTCAAGGATACCAGTTTGAAAGGATCTGATTAGTGAGGATATGAATCTGAAGCTCTGAATCTGAAGCTCTGAATCCTGTAGTGTCTGTTTCTAGAGCTGGTCGCTGTATTCTACAGAGCTAGAGCCCAATACAAACTCAGTTGTTCTCCCATCCAAGAGCTTGACAGCTCCAATCTCAGGGCCAACAATTAGTTACCATCATTTGTTAGACAGATGGGGTTGGCTCAGCTCAGTGAAGCTCAGCATAGCTACTCTCACTCTTCAGGTGAAAGTCTGAGGTTTGATCAAACTTGTCAAATTCTATTTTTTACAAGGTGGAGGAAACATGTGCTCAGCTGCTGAAGTTGTTAATATGAAATGCTAGTAATGGATATTCTGAGAAATGGACTCTCTCTTTTTGATAGGCACTAGAAAAACTAGTTCATGAAGGACTTGAGGAGCAGTGTGATGACTTGAAAAAGGAAATAAAACGAATAGAAGAAAATATCAAAGCCATGAAAGAGAAGTCTTCTCTGAAGTTGGAGTTCCTTAATGGAACTCAAGATTTTTGCCATGAACTACTATTGAACGTATTCAGCTCAGAGATTAAAAGGGCACTGAGGAAAATGTGATGTAAGCCAGTAAGCAGGACTCCTCCACGGCCTCAGCATCAGTTCCTGCCTCCAGATTCCTGCTGTCAGTTTCTGCCCTGATGTTCCTCATTAATGGAGTACAGCCCAAGAGTTACAGCATGAAATAAACTGTTTCCTCCTTACTTACTTTGGTCCTAGTGTTTTTCACAGCCATAGAAACTCCAGCTTAGACATCACATCGCTTTTCTCTGCCTTGTGTCTTCCATACTGCTTCAGACATATACCTTTCAGGGGGGAGTTTGGATCCAAAGTATTTATAGTCTCAGTTCTTCACACACACTTGAATCACTCCACTGGCTTCTTTTGGTTTCGGTTGATGGTAGGTCCTGGTTCTCACTCCCAACCCCATGCTGCCAGAAATAAGACTTAGACTCAAATATATTTTCAGATACCTTGGTCATATACCTAGACTCTTCTCTGACTAGATATAACTTAAAATATTCCATCGATTCTAGCCTACAATTCTGCCATGTTGTTGGTTACCTGTGCTCAGGTATCATGATTCTGACTTGTTACATCTTTCAATGCTGATCACCAGAATGGTTCTCTCCCACAATTCTTTATCTCTGTGAGGTACCACCTCCATTTCTTCCCTAAGCCATAGACCATACACTTTTTAATTGACAGGAGATGCATCCATACAATACACAAGAGGTTTCCTGGAATTAAAATGGCGTGTCTTCTCCATCTCTTCCATGTTCATGTTGAGACCTTGGCCATTCATTAGATGTGTTAGTAGTGTGCTCTCTCACTTGACTCCTGACATCATAACCTGCATTCACCTTGTTCTCAGTCTACCCTTACTTTTCTCTTACTAGTAAATACACTGTCTTCATAAATTCAGGATCAAGTGTCCTAGAAATCAGCACCTTTCAAACCTCGTATTCATTATTACATCAAATGATCACTGTTAAGACTTCATCATATTTAGTCTATGGTTTAGTGTTTAGTATAGAATTAGTGTAGTGTATCCGTGGAATATTTTCCTCAGCATTCAGTAAGCGTAGTGTATGTTGGTGCTCCTCTGATGCTTCTTATAAAATAAGCAATGAAATTTCATTTCTTTGTTTTTGCAATTAAGTAATTAGTGTAATATCCCAATAGCAGTCCCCCCCATCCCTCAGTCACTCCTCATGCTTTTCCCTGCACCCAATTTCTCTTCAGAAAAGGGAATGCCTCCCATGGATATCAACTATCCATGGCATATCTAGTTACAGTAAGACTAGACACACTCTGTCCTACAGAGGCTAGATAAGGCAATCCAGAACGAGGATAGAATCTCTCTGAAACCTTGGGCTTTTTCACCCATGCCCCAGTTTGCAAACAATCAATCAGAGGATTATTATTAATTAAAAACTGCCTAGGTCATACTTGCTCTTACTAGTTGATAACTCATTTGAAATGTTTATAGTGTTCTATGATGGCTATATGGCTAGCTATCTCTCCTCAGTTCCATATGTCTGACTTGCTCTGAGTTAGAGTCCCGGGCAACATTTCCTGTGCCTCACTATTTCTCAGAGGTCCTCTCTTGCATGTAGTTTTAAAAACCATGCTTGTTCCTTCTTGGGTTACCCTCTCAGCTCTGCTCCAAGAAGTCATTTCCGCTGGTTCCACTCCCAGCGTAGCTCTGCCAATGGCTAGCTGGTCCCCTAACAGGGAAATGTGTTCCTTCAATCTCCCATGGCTAGCTCCACCGATTGCCAGCTGATGCTTTTCCTAGAAATGCTGGGAGCTGTGAAAGCTCTCTGCTGCCCAACCACCCTGAGGCTAGCTCAGCTAATGCCTGCCCCAGCTGAGTTGTTGTGGATGGAAAACACCAGACAGCCTTAATATTTTAAAATCTGCCAGATGGTAAAACTGCTGGGTGAAGAATCTATTGCTCTAAACTCATCAGCTATCCTATATCAGAATGCAGCAGGTGTGGAGGCCACCACCACATCTAATTGCCCCCATGCCTGACATGGTGTGTGTGCTCCTCTCCAACAGCCTGGACTAAAAGCCCAGCCGAAAAGCCCCCTACCCTACTCTCTCTTGTCCCCTCCTCTTCCTCCTGGGATGCAGAAATCCCATCTTTTATTTTTTCACCCAATGATTGGCTTCTGCTGGCTTTATTGACATAAATAAGGAAGAATATAGGTAACCACATTTTAGTATCAGCTCCTCACCCTACAGTTTCTTCCCCTCTCTGTCTCTCTCTGTCTTTCTCTGCCTCTCTCTGTCTCTCTCTGTCTCTCTCTCCATCTCTCTCTCTGTCTCTCTGTCTCTCCATCTCTCTCTCTGTCTCTCTGTCTCTCTGTCTCTCCATCTCTGTCTCTGTCTCTCTCTCACTTTGTGTGTGCGTGTGTATGTGTGTGTGTGACTGCTGGATGTCCCACCTTCTAATCATGTCTCAGCTTATTGGCCATCAGATTTTTTGACAGGTAATGCTTCCACACAGTACACAAGAGATTATCCATATATCCCCCGATTTTAGTCCAATAAAAGACTCTTTCTCTAACATCAATAAACTATATTCAATAAGAAAAATCAAGAGAACTACCAGATAAGGGGTACATTCACAGTTTCTAGTCCATATGCATTTGACAAGCTTGGAGAAAGTACTGTACTATCTATCTTATCTTAGTGAGTGTAAAGTTCTATACCTAATTAATTTTCTTTTTTTCTAATTAATTTTCTATACTAGCTTGCATTTATCAACCTATAAATATCTTCTTAGACCTTAAAATATTTTCTTAAATCTTAAACAACTTAATTGTGAGATTATAGCTATCTAATCTTCATTCCCATCAGAGACTTGAGAAATATACATATTACCGAGAATATAGGACGCACAGTGCAAGCAGCTTACAAAACTACAGAAATAACAGAGGTTTCTAGCTAACCAGACAGTCACCCAAGTTTCCTCTGCAAAATTGGAGCATTGTCTTTGGCCTTCTAGCCCAGAATATCTGAAAGAGTATTCTATGAAGTAGGAATATTGAAGGACTTCCTACCTTGTCTAGGCAAAGCTTTGGGAATCCACCTCCTTGTATCTTCTTTGGGGCAAAGGAAGTTTTTTTTTTCCCCAAGTGACACCTTTCCACATTGGAAGCAAACTCCATAAGGAGAGTCTTTGATGTTCGTTATCTTCTTTGACGTAGAATAGGGGAGCTTCTAGATAAGGACATCTCATTATCATGAAAAGCCTTTTATTAAAAAAAAAAAAAAATCTTTAGCTGGCCAGGGGGCGGGGCCCGAGGAGTTGGGCCGCTGAGGCAGTTGGAGGAGTGTGTAGGTTCTGCTGCCCGGCTGCTGCGGAGCGCCCCCGCTGGTCTGTCCGTGTCTCCGCGTCCCGCGTGCTGCAGGCTGCCCGCTGAGCTGCGGCGAGGCCTGACGGATGCGCGGGTCAGCAGCCACGCCGGGCTCGACGCTTCCCTTTGCCTGCACTTCCTCCTGCCACAGCGCGGTGCCGGCTGGGCAGGCGGGATGGAGGCCGCGGCCCGGGGGAGCGGCCGGGCCCCGACGCGAAGGCTGCTCGTGCTCTTGCTGCTTCCATTGCTCTGGTCCCCGGTCGGGGTCCGCGCGGGCCCGGAGGAAGACCTGAGCCACCTGAACCAGGAGCCACCGGCGCCCGCCCAGCAGCTTCAGCCACAGCCTGCTGCAGTGCAGGGCCTGGAGCCGGCCCCGGCAGAGAAAGGATTGACACCAGCAGCCCCAGTTCATACCAACAGAAAAGATGCAGCTGCCCAGACGAATCTGGGATTTATCCATGCATTTGTTGCTGCCATATCAGTTATCATAGTGTCCGAACTCGACGACAAGACGTTTTTCATAGCTGCTATCATGGCGATGCGCTATAACCGGCTGACTGTGCTAGCTGGTGCTATGCTTGCTTTGGGCCTGATGACATGCTTGTCAGTTTTGTTTGGCTATGCCACAACAGTCATCCCCAGGGTGTATACATACTATGTTTCAACTGCACTCTTTGCCATTTTTTGGCATTAGAATGCTTCGGGAAGGCTTGAAGATGAGCCCAGATGAGGGTCAGGAGGAGCTGGAAGAAGTGCAAGCAGAGTTAAAAAAGAAAGATGAAGAATTCCAGCGAACCAAACTCTTAAATGGGCCAGATGTTGAAACTGGTACAAGCACAGCAATACCTCAGAAAAAAGTGGTTACATTTTATCTCACCCATTTTCGTTCAAGCACTCACATTAACATTCTTGGCAGAATTGGGGGGATCGCTCTCAACTCACTATCATTGTTCTGGCAGCTAGAGAGGATCCCTACGGTGTAGCAGTGGGTGGCACTGTGGGACATTGCTTATGCACTGGATTGGCAGTAATTGGAGGAAGAATGATAGCACAAAAAATCTCTGTCAGAACTGTGACAATCATCGGAGGTGTCGTGTTTTTGGCGTTTGCATTTTCTGCTCTGTTTATAAGTCCAGAGTCTGGTTTTTAAAAAGCTAGTCATCTGTATTCAGCTTAAGGTGTGCAGCTCTTTCTGTACTTAGTGTACATTACAACTACAAGTCATGGAAAAGACTGTATTTTGAAGCATTAATTTGTAAGTTTGACCCATTTAATTATTATGCCCAAAAGATATAATCATTGATTTTATTTGTAAAAATTTTTAAAAAGAAGTTTGACTCGAAAGTGTGGGTTCTCTCTAGCCTAATTATGTTGACACCTCAGCCCCCACTTCTGCTTGACACACATGTCCACCGAAGTGAGGCTGACCATTGAGTTTTCATGTAGCATGACCACTTTATAAACACATTTTCTCCTTGGTCATTGGAGTGTTTAATGTATACCTTAAGCATTTCCGTGGGGAAAAAGAATGAATTATTTCTACTTTTAAAAACATATTCCTGAGCCAGTACAGTAATCAGTTGTTCTATCTTGTCTTTGGGAATTAGGATTAAACAGAGGAATGAGTGTTCCTGCTGTATCAGTAACAAGCGATAAGAGTTGCTGGCTAGGTCCATTCTTCCGCTTATTTTAATTGGGTAGGACACCCAATATTAAAAATAGTCAATATTTGACAACATGGACTTACCAAATTAAAAGAGAATACTATGAATATATTCATATTTTTCTATATTGAATAAGCAATGTAACAAACAATGTAAATAAAAATGGTA